TATGACATACCCAAATGAGCTCTCAGTTCTTGTTTCATTTATTCATTTTTTCCTTTGTCCCCGCTCCCTGCCTCCCCACTGCCATTCCCACAGCTCCCCGAAGTCCCTATGCTAATGTACGTAATATGGCCTTGGATTTGTAAGTGTCCTTGTGTGTTACACAGTGTTCTGTCCGTGGGAGTGGTTTGTACTTACGTATACTGCGTTTGATTCTTTACATTCATCACTTGGTCCTCTGCCTTTAGACTCCACCATGCTGCTGTTTTGACGTCTAGTTTTAATACCACTGCCACACAGACATGGCCTCCACCACTCCTTACTAATTTATTTCGCTAGTTGTGTACAATGAGGCTGCCCCAGCTCCTCACCATCATAAGCCAGCATTAAAAGAAGTTTGCCAAAGCTTTCTCCAGTGAGTATGATGGTTTCTGCAGGTTTTTGGCATAAAGCCTTTATCAGATTAAAGAAATTCTTTTCAATACCCCTCTCCCTTGATGAGCGCGTCAAATTTCATCAGGGTGTTAACCGCCACCTCTGTGCCTGTGATTCCCAAATTTTTACCTCTAACCCAGACTTCTTTCTCAAATGCCAGACTCAAATATTCAGCTGCCTCTTTAGTGTCTCCACTTCTAAAAGATGTCTCCAACTCAACATGTCCAAAAACAAGTTCCTGATTGTCGCCACAAAATCTACTCCACCTCACGCCTCAGAAGACCACCCCAAATGCGGAAAGGCTGAATGCTTTTTTCTTTTTCTTTTTCTTTTTTTTTTTTTTTTGAGATGGAGTCTTGCTCTGTCGCCCAGGCTGGATTGCAGTAGTGCAATCTCGATCTCAGCTCACTGCAAACTCCACCTCCCGGGTTCAAGCGATTCTCCTGCTTCAGCCTCTCAAGTAACTGGGATAACAGGTGCATACCACCATGCCCGGCTAATTTTTGTATTTTTAGTAGAGAGAGTTTCACCATGTTGGCCGGACTGGTCTCAAATGCCTGACCTTAAGTGATCCACCTGCCTCAGCCTCTCAAAGTGCTGGGAGTACAGGTGTGAGCCGTCGTGCTTGACTCAGTAGTATTTTTATGTACTAGTAATGAACAATTTCAGAAACATTGCCATTTACAATAGTTCCCCAAAAAGCGAAATTCATAGGTATAAATCTGGATTCAGAGTCCAGAGTACTAACCATTACACGATGGAACCTATAGGTATAAACCTAACAAAACATATCCAAGATCTACAGGCGGAAGACTACAGAGTGCTGATAGAACTGAAGAACTCTGACTGAATGAGTGGGCGACTCCACGTGCTAGAGACGTAAACCCTCCCACATTGGTCTGTGGATTTAATACCATACCTATCAAAAACACAGTGGTGAAGGACAGATCAGGGATCGCCAGGTTTAGGGATGGGCGGATTGTGTAACTATAAAGAACGCAAGGGAGATTTTTGGGGTGGCAGAGCTGTTCTGGGTCCTGATGGTGATGGTGGTGGTTACATGAATCTATCCATGTGCCAAACATCAGAACCCTCATTTTACACTTGGGAGCAACAGAAATCCCTCCCTCTGGAGGAGGTGACTGATGGTAACCTGATTGCTAATTCCAGAATCAGGAACCCTGTGGTCAGGTTTCTGCTCTGCAACTTCCTGTCGGTAACCTTGGGCAAGTCACTTGTCCCTCCAGAGCCTTGGTTTTCTCATCTGTAAAAGGAGATGATAGGTCCTTTTCTGTCCACTGCATAGTTTATTAGTGAAACATCATGGTGACATTCTTTATAAACTATGGAGCGCAGTACATAGGCTTGCTTTCATTTTGTCGGTGTCCTTTATAGATTGTTCATATAAGCTCCCAAAGAGTAGTATTTGTTTTATTGAAATAAAACACACGTAGAGAAAAATGTGTGCATTATACATTGACAGCTGAACCCACCGTGTAACCAGCACCCACCCACCCAGATCAATCATAAACAGAACCGCACCAGCACCCCAGCAGCCCCTTCCCGTTTCCATACCCTCCACGTGGAGCCTCCATTCCGTTTCCCAACACCCTGGGTTAGTTTTTATACTTTCTGTCATCGGAATCACACTGTAAGTGCTCTTGGTTTTAGCTTCCTTTGCTCAAACTTAACTTGTGGGATTCATTCATGTTGTGAGGAGCTGGGGGTCATCCATTCTCCTTGCCGTCTGTGGTGATTTCTGTGTTGTGAACACACACAATGTATCATCCAGCCTGCCGTAGATGGAGGCCGTTTTGAAGCCATTATGAACAGGGCTGATGTGCACATTCTGCTGGAGAGAAACAGGTCCCAGGGCGCAGGGCCGATGATCAGCTTTGGTAGTCCTGCCGGTTTTCCCATGCGCTGTGCCGGTCTACACTCCAACGGCGGGCGGACCTTCCGGTAGTTACGGACCTTCACGAACTCTTGGACTTTCCTGCACACACAGAGGAGAGAATTTTGGATGGCTCTTCCCTTCCTCCCACCTCCTTCCTTAGGGCATTGACGTTCAACTGATGTAAATATTTACTGTGCCAAGCACTAGGAGTGCAGAGACAAACAAGACAAAGTCCTCACTCTTAGAAGCTCCCGGTGAGGCGGCTGAGATGGCCCAGGAAAGAATTATATTACCGTCGAAAAGGGAGGTATTACCTTCAAAACGCGATGTTTGAGGTGGCATGAAGCTCAGCGGTGTTATATTGGAATGAGTGACCATCCTGGAGGCTTCCTGAAGGAGGTGACTTCGTTTTTAAGTGATTTTAAATAATAGTTTAATGTATTAGTATTTTGTATTCAGTTAATAACAGTTTTCTGATTTTAGGATTTGCTATAGAAATGTTGGGAAACCTTAAAGTAGAACAAAAAAAAATGTAGAAATCATCTGAAATTCCAAATTCTACCACTCCCTCACAGTTAAGTGCTGTTAGATGTTAGGTGTGGGGTATTTCCTTTTAATTTCCACTCTGCACCGCCACCCCCAGCCCCTACCCCAGAGCCCTCACTTCTGGCACTGGAGCGCAGCTTGCATGTTTTTAAGGCTGAATCAAGATCCCTTCTTCTGGTGGTAGTGGTTTCTTTTTCTCTCTTTCTCTCTTTCTCTCTCCTCTTCTCCTGCTCTCCTTCCTTCCTTCCTTCCTTCCTTCCTTCCTTCCTTCCTTCCTTCCTTCCTTCCTTTTCTCTCTCTCTCTTTTCTTTTACTGTATTTTTAAATTAAAAAGAAAATCTTGAACGGGCATGGCATCTCACGCCTGTAATCCCAGCACTTTGGGAGGCTGAGGCAGGCAGATCACCTGAGGTTGGGAGTTCGAGACCAGCCTGACCAACATGGAGAAAACCCCGTCTCTACTAAAAATACAAAATTGGCCAGGCATGGTGGTGCAAGCCTGTAGTCCCAGCTGCTCGGGAGGCTGAGGCAGGAGAATTGCTTGAACCCCGGAGGCGGAGGTTGCGGTGAGCCGAGGTTGTGCTGTTGCACTCCAGCCTGGGCAGCAAGAGCAAAAACCCGTCTCAAAAAAAAAAAACAAAAGAAAAAGAAAAAATCTTTTTCCTTTGAGCTGGAGCTGCAAAGAGAAGAATTTTTAAAAAGAAAATCTATAAAAATTAAAATACAAAAATTTTTCTTAGACACAGGGTCTCGCTGTGTTGCTCAGGCTGGTCTCCAACTCCTGGCCTCAAGCGAACTTCCTCCAACCTCAGCTTCCCAAGTAGCTGGGATTACAGGCATGTACCACCATGCCTGGCTTTTTTTCTTTAAACAACTTTTTAAAAATGTTTTATTTTGTTTTTACTTAACATACAATTGTACTAGAGTAGTGTCTTATCTGTCACAACACTTTTCTAACGGTAGAGTGTGTGTTACTGCCGTTTCCCACAACAAATGGTGTCATATCTTGGTCTTGGTTGAAGCAATAACATTTCTCAGTGAAACTCTTGCCATTTAAAATTCTTCGTCTCGTAACTCATGCGCAACAGGGTTAGTACATTTCTCAGCTGCCAGTGAGGTTGTTCGTTGTGATTTAACAGGATGACCACAGTGTAAAAACATTCTTATGCCATTAATACACGCTTGTTTTAGGCTACTTGGAAAATTCAAAAACCTAAAAAAAAGAGGAAATAATCATTTATAGTCCTACCACCCAGAGAAAACCACAGTTAATGTTTTGGTGTATTTCCTTCCAGTTTTTTATTTTCCACCTAAACTCTTCAATTACAATCCAACTTTTTTTAAAAAAAAAACATGTTTTTAAAAAAGTGTAAAGATAATACTGTATCTCAGCACAAAAGAAAATTTTGGAAATGCAGAAAAGACAATGGAAAAGAAAAATCAGTTGTCTGTGATGTCACCACCCAGAAATAGCCACGCTTCCAGCCAGTCTTTTCACATATGTGACTCCTACCGTTTTTATATCTCTTACCATAAATGACAAGCTCTAGAAGAGAATGTAGCAAATGCAGGGGTCCTGAAAGAAGGGGTGCACGCTTTGTTTTGTCCCTGATGTTCCTGGGGCACAGGTAATTAAAAGGCTGAAGACCGAGTGCTCTAGAATAGGGCTTCTCAAGGTGTGGTCCGCAAAGCAGCAGCCTCTCCTGGGAGCTTATTGGAAATACAATCGGAGCCTCGCGGGTGGGCCGGGAATCTGTTGTAACAAGCCTTTGGGGGAATTCAGATGCTTGCTCTCTTTACAGTTTGAGAAACACTGCACCAAAAGACTGGACTCTGGGAGGTTGGGGGCTTCAGATGAATTGAAAGTGGAAATTCATTTAGGAAATGGGATGGAACCGCTTTGCAGCATGGAACTCATTGATACCGACACAACTGTTTGCGTGGTTCAGCTTCCTGAGACAGGGACCACCTGAGTTTGGCATCCCAATGTCTGGCCCCCTGCCTGGTCTGTAATAGGTGCTCACCGAATACTTGATGAATGAATCAAGGAATGACTAAGTGAGTGAAAAAGGGATCTCTAGAGCCGTGCCCCACATGCCTCTTTTTCTCTTTTTTTAATTTCTAGGATTGGAACATCAGTTAACATCTGACCACTGCCAGCCCACCCCCTCCCACCCGCGTCGATTGCATCTCTGGGCTCCAGGGATAAAGCAGGTCTTGGGGTGCACCATGATTTCACCATTCTTAGTACTGGCCATTGGCACCTGCCTTACCAACTCCTTAGTGCCAGGTATGCTTGGGGACACAGGTGGAGGGATGGGGTAGGGTGAGGGCAGTGTCTATGTTCAAGGTCCCAGAGCCATGCAAAGTATTTAAGAGCTGAAAACAGTGTTCAGAGCAGGAAACCTCAACCCTGCTACTTGCATGTGTTAATTGGATAGGTCACTCTTTTCCCATATATATATATTTTATTCTTTGTTTCCTTCTTACTCTTCCTTCCTTCCTTCCTCCCTCCCTCCCTCCCTCCCTCCCTCCCTCTCTTTCTCTCTCTTGCATCCCTGTGAAGAGACCACCAAACAGGCTTTGTGTGAGCCAGAAGGCTGTTTATTTCACCTGGGTGCAGGCGGGCTGAGTCCGAAAAGAGAGTCAGCGAAGGGAGATAGGGGTGGGGCCGTTTTATAGAATTTGGGTAGGTAAAGGAAAATTACAGTCATGGGGGTTGTTCTCTGGCGGGCAAGAGTGGGGGGTCACAGGGTGCTCAGTGGGGGAGCTTTTTGAGCCAGGATGAGCCAGGAGAAGGAATTTCACAAGGTAATGTCATCAGTTAAGGCGAGGACCCGCCATTTTCACTTCTTTTGTGGTGGAATGTCATCAGTTAAGGCAGGAACAGGCCATTTAAATTTCACTTCTTTTGTGATTCTTCAGTTACTTCAGGCCATCTGGATGTATACGTGCAGGTCACAGGGGATATGATGGCTTAGCTGGGGCTCAGAGGCCTGATGCTTTCTTTCTGCGACAGAGACAGAGTCTCACACTCTGTCACCCAGGACGGAGTGCAGTGACGTGATCTCAGCTCACTGCAGCCTTCGCCCCCCAGGTTCAAGTGATCCTCCTGCCTCAGCCTCCCGAGTAGCTGGGATTACAGACGTGCACCACAACACCTGGATAATTTTTGTATTTTTATTAGAGATGGGGTTTCGTCATGTTGGCCAGGCTGATCTCGAACTCCTGACCTCAAGTGATCTGCCCGCCTTGGCCTCCCAAAGTGCTGGGATTACAGATGTGAGCCACTGTGCCCAGCCTTTTCCCTTTTATATTATACTATTCTTTGATTGGGGTTTCTGTTCTCTCTTTTATCTTTGATAATTTGAAATATAATGAATCCTATGGACTCTTCTGAGTCTTGGTCCGCTGTGTCTCCTGTAGGTTTTGTCTGCTCATTCTCCCTCATGGGATCGCACATTTTCTTGTCATTTGTAGTTCTCACTAGTGAACTCATCTTCAACAGGAGTTTTTTGTTTTTCTGTTGGAGACTCACGCGGAACTGTTTCCACAGCGTGGCATGGTGTTTTCAGGACATGAGGGGTTCAACTAATTCTAGGCCAGTTTTTATGTTAATTTCTTGGTTTGCAATTCTTACACTATAAATTCAGATCCCCACTTAGACCTGGCTCAGATTTGGACTTGAATTCACATTTCTTACGAATGACTGTCTTTCTCTGTCCCTTCCGTAGCTCCAAGGCAAAATGTGTACCTTTAAACGGCTTCGGCAGGCCTGGTGTGGTGGCTCACGCCTGTAATCCCAGGGCTTTGGGAGGCTGAGGTGGGAGGATCGCTTGAGTCCGGGAGTTTGAGGACAGCCTGGGCAACATAGTGAGACCTCCATCTCTAAAAACAAACAAACAAACAAACAGCCGGGCACAGTGCTGCATGCTTATAGTCCTAGCTACTTGGGAGGCTGAGGTGGGAGGATCACTTGAGCCCAGGATTTCAAGATTATGGTGAGCTATAATCAAATTACTCCAGCCTGGGTGACAGAGTGAGACTCTGTCTCTTAAAAAGAAACCAGCTTCTGGCCAGGCATGGTGGCTCACGCCTGTAATCCCAGCACTTTGGGAGGCTGAGGTAGGTGGATCACTTGAAGTCAGGAGTTTGAGACCAGCCTATCCAACATGGCAAAAACCCATCTCTACTAAAAATACAAAAATTAGCCGGGCGTGATGGCACACTCCTGTAATCCCAGCTACTTGGGAGGCTGAGGCAGGAGAATCACTTGAACCCAGGAGTCAGAGGTTGTAGTGAGCCGAGATTGCACCACTGCACTTCAGCCTGGGCAACAGAGCAAGACTCCGTGTCAAAAAAGAAAAGAAACCAGCTTCAGCCTGAATCTGTACCTGGCCTGCCGTCCCAGGCGTTCCTCTCAGTATCAGCTCCTGTGGGCCCCTCTGGTTTTTAGATTCCTTCATCAATGCTGCCTCCTGAGGATTTTCCTTCCCCCTTTTCCTCCTTTTTCAAGCTATGTGCTATTTTTTTCCCCCAGCATTTCTGTATCTGGAGCTGCAGGACAGCCTTCCTCGGCTCAGTCCATTATGTGGCTAGAAGTCCCCACTTGCCTTCCCTGCACCCCAGTGTTTCCATCTCTCCAGTGGGGATAAGAGTTCCTCCCGCTTAGGGCCATCACGGGAATCACATGGGATAGTCACAGTGTCTGGCAAGGCGTGGATGCTCAGTGAGTGTTGGTCTCTTCTCTTAGGAAGGCTATATTTCAGCAGATGAGGAGAGGGGGTGCAGTGGGGCACCGAGCCTGAGCTGATGGGCTCTCAGGCCATTGCCTCTGAGACCCCGTGGTGCCAGCTGCATCCCTGGGGGACCAAGGTCACTCTGGCACGGGGTCCCTGCCTTCTCAGCACTTACAGCCCACCTGGGTGAAAGATGAACTAATGGATGAAAAGGGAAAAGGTGAAAAAGTGACAACATGAAAACTCTTCACGGCTGGGTGCGATGGCTCACGCCTGTAATCCCAGCACTTTGGGAGGCCAAGGTGGGCGGATCATTAGGTCAGTAGATCGAGACCATCCTGGCTAACACTGTGAAACCCTGTCTCTACTTAAAAAAAAAAAATACAAAAAATTAGTGGGGCATGGTGGCGCGTGCCTGTAGTCCCAGCTACTCGGGAGTCTGAGGCAGGAGAATGGTGTGAACCCGGGAGGCGGAGCTTGCAGTGAGCCGAGATTACGCCACTGCACTCCAGCCTGGGCAACAAAGCAAGACTCCGTTTCAAAAAAAAAAAAAAAAAAAGAAAAATCTTTGAACGTTCAGCAATTCAACTTTTTGTATCTGCTGTCACCAGGCTGGAATGCAATGGCACAATCATGGCTTACTATAGCCTCAAACTCCTGGCCTCAAGCAATCCTCCCACCATGGCCTCCAAAAGTGCTGGGATTACAGGCATGAGCCACTATTCCAGCCTTCTTTTTTTTCTTCAGTTAGGTATAACTTACAGAAAAAGGCACTGATCTTAAATACATAGCATGAAAGATTTCTGACATATATTTATACCTGTGTCACCACCACGCAGATCAAGACAGAACATTTCTGGTCATGGGGCATCTGTGGGCTTCCCTGTGCCAACCCCCTCCCAAAGCCAGAAGAGATGCCCAGGCTTACACTGGTCACCAGAGACTCACTTTGCCCATTTTGAGCTTCATAGAAATGGAATCATACAGTATGTACCGATCAGTGCCCTTTCCCCGGCATTCTATCATGAGCATTTGCACATATCATTTAGTAGTCTCCAGAAACAATGGCCTCTTGGAATCCAGTTGTCCAGAGCCATTGTTGCTTAAACCAGACTCCAAACCCTTCTCAGGGATAGGCCCTGGGTGGCTCTGGTGAAAAAGACAAGGACTCTGCCCTCATGGGACTCCAATCTAGAGAGAACAAGCCCTCGACCGAGCAGGGGACCTGGTGGCAGAGCCTGGGCTGAACAAGAGCAACAGGTGTGGGGCAGGCTGATGTCAGCCCAGCCCTGGGACTCCAAGCTGTTAAGGCAGGGACAGGCTGTCGGCGGTCAGGGTGGGTGGAAGGTCTTCACCACCCAATGGCAGCCAACTGGCCAAAGAGGCTCCATGACCAACAGCACCGTGGGGGGTTTTGAGGAAGGCAGGAGGGAGGTTGGAACCATCCTGGGCCTGGGGACCTCCGAGCAAAGCCCTTGGCCCCAGCCTTGCCCAGGCTTTATGTCATGTCATCCTAGAACTACTCGTGGATAGCTACAGGTCTCCCATTTCCTGGGGCGGAAACTCTTGTCCAAAGGCACCCTGTCGGGCAGAAGGGCCAAGGTGCTCCCGATTCCCAGTAGGAACTGCTTGGGGATGTCTGAAATTGATGCCCTCAACAGACACTTCCAGAAGAGAGAGGGTGGACCTGGGGCTGTCAGGGTGAGGGCAGTGGGCTGAGGGATTGGAGTGGTGGCGACGTAAGGGGAGGCCTCTTGGGGAGGGGTGTGGGGTGTGCTTGGATCCAAGGCTAGAGGTGCATTGCAGCATCGTGCCCGCTTCTCGTCTGTGCTGTCATAGGCTGGGGCAGAGCCACAGCAACGCGTGAGTTTCCAGTTCTCCCACTGGGGCCCTGATCTCAGGCTCTCCATTTCCTAATGTGGAGGAGACACTGGTGCCCACCCACCAAGGCAGTTGGGAGGAATAAGAGAAGCCGTGCAGGGGGCCCCTGGCATCTCTCCCAGAGCCGGTGCGTGTGTGAGGAAGGAGGGCTGTTCTTCACCCATCCCACTCCAAGAGCCAGGCACATGTCGGAGCTGGGCCAAAAGATAAGAATTGTGTCCCCAGCCCACCGACATGCTACATGGCCTTGGACAAGACCCTCCCACTCCTCCTGATCTCGCTTCCCATTCTGTGCAGTGGGAGGCCTCAAAAGAGGAAGCCGCTAGGGAGCCTCCTCTCTAGGCTTCCGAGCAGATCTGATAGGGCCCCGGGACAGAGAGGGGCCCCGCAGACTCTGGGAGGGACTCTAGCTCTCATAGCCAGGATCCTGGTCCAGCCCTGGAGATGGGATAATGGGGGTGGGAGGCAATTTTTGAGCCTCTCCTATGGGTCAGGTGTGTCACTTGCCTTATTCAGCCCAGTCCTTAGAGTGACCCTGAGGGGATGGTGCCAGCAATGTCATTTGACAGGGCAAGAGACTGAGGCTCAGGGAGGTGACATAGCTAGTACTTGGAGCAACTGGGGTTTTTTTTGTTTGTTTTTGAGACAGAGTCTCTCTCTCTTGCCCAGGCTGGAGTGCAGTGGCGTGATCTCGGCTCACTGCAACCTCCGCCTCCCGGGTTCAAGCAATTCTCCTGCCTCAGCCTCCTGAGTAGCTGGGA